CTATTGCCAGGGGCGGAATTGGAAGCCAGGTGAAAAAGAGGGGCAGAGAAAATGGAGGGAACTAACACTTAAGCACACTTGATTTATGTTCTATTGGCTTTTGGAAGCCCACATGGCAAGAATCAAGTAAGTCTGGTTACATCAGTCTCACATTATGGAGGAGGAAACGCAAGTTCCAAGAGATGAAGAAATTTGTGTAAGCTCAGCTGGGGGAGCTTCAATTTTTAATCATATCTGTCTGACCTTACAGTCCATATTTGCACCTATGTGCTTTCTCAGGGCTGGGCTCATTTTCCCAAGGGCCTAGAGGGGACTTACCTAACGGACAAGAATTTAGCCCTGCTAGTTACAAGGCATTACACTCATCATTTTGAGTCCCACAAAGTACGCTCTGAAGAACTCATAAGAGAACCCAAAGAGAAGAAAACCTGTGGCAAGTTATAGGCTCTAGTCATTAACTTATATCATGATGCCAGCAGGCCTTTGACTGAAATACATAGGAACTGGGACTTAACCAGCAAAAACACATTGGTAAACAGCGTAATGATACACACATTTAGGAAAATGATGTTTTTAATTTTAAATGCTGTGCAGCCTTGCCTTTTATAGTTAGTGCTGGGAAGTTGTGGTATACCAAGAAATGATTTACATTTTAGCCTGAGGGCAAAAATATGGAACTTGTAGCTGTGTATGTCAGAGAGAGGCAAAATCTTCTAATGAGAAAAATGAAAGCTGTAAAACAGTCTCAGTCAGGATGCGTGCTGATTAAACTGTTGGGTGGCTGGCCATCTTGTTGCACATTTCATAGGGAATAAACAGCCGTTAATGACTTTCAGGTGAAAACGTCCCTTCTAACTCTGCAGCGCTACGCTGTTGCCGAAGTGGCGGACGACAAGCATGTACCTATCCTTTTGAGGGCTTCCTGGTCCAAGGTGGTTTTGAGCCTGGAAGGCTGTGTGGTCTGGGCTTTTGGCGTGTGAGAAGAGAGGCACACATCAGCTCCAGATCGGTGCTGGCCAGTCTGAGCTCCTCAGATGCAGACACTCTGCCAGCCAGGGCTGCTGCCTCGCAGCTGAGACTTCGCGCCTCTGGGTAGATACGCACCTGTGATCTAAACTCCTCTTAGTTTTCCTCTCCCAGCCTTCCAGAACTGAATTCTCCATGAGTGAACCCCTCAGGGGACGGGAGGAGTGCCTGCTTCCTCCAGGGAACAGGGAACAGGGAACAGGAGTGGGGAAGTGATAAGGGGGAGGCTCCAGAGTTTTCCTGTGTCCTTTGATGTTCCTCTGCTGAGGGAGATGGGCTCTCCTAGTAGTTCAAAGCACTGGCTCTGCAGTCACAAATGTGTGTGCAAATTGTGGCTTTGTCCCTTGTTTACCTTGTGATCTTGTCTACATCATTTATTTTCTCTATGCCCCTTTTTCCTCTTACCACATTTGGTCAATGATACCTGGCTCATTGGATTGTTGCAGAAATTAAATGAGGTAATACATACTGTCCTTAGGACTTGATGAAGTTTTGATATTATCATATCTCCACTAATAGCATCAAAAATTGGATCTAATCAAAGCCCAGTCTCTTTTCCATTTGCATGGCCTTAAAATATTTTTAACAAGTTTGCTCTTTTGCCCCTCTTCTAATGCAGCTCAGGCTCTAACAGAACAGGTTCCATTATCCACAGATGCCTGTGTGCCGCTTGCTTGATAGCAAGAAAGAAGGTGCATCTGGGAGGGGCTTGCCAGAAATATTCGTTCTATAGCTACCACATTACCCTGCACTACTGTGATCTCATCTATTGTCATATCCTGGACTTTCATTACAAATTGGCTGGAGTTTATTTTTCCAGGGAAATAGAATTTTTCATTTTCTAAGGATGGACAATAGTTTTATATACATGGTTTCTATCTGCATGCAGTTTATGGTCTTATCTTTTATGTTTGGTTTCAAATTGCCATGCGTAGGTGTCTTGGATCACTGGAACATGAAAGAGCATGGGCTCAGAGGCCAAAGGGAGGTCCAGATTCCAAGTGTGAGAGGACCAGCTGTTAGAACCTTCATTTCCTCATGTGTGAATGTAGGTAACACTCACCTCCTGGAATTAAAAGATAAAATAATATAACAGTGTGTCCATCACATTATGTAACACATAATAACATCACAGTAAAAGTTAGTGATTATTTTGAGTAGATCTAACATTATGTTAATAAAATTCCATTGTTCACACAGTTTTATTCTTTGAGAGTCCATATTCTGTAGTCATCTTAGAAAACTACAAAGGTGGGGCTGGGGATTTAGCTCAGCGGCAAAAGCGCCTGCCTCTCAAGCGCAAGGTCGTGAGTTCGGTTCCCGGTACTGGAGAAAAACCAAAAAAAAAAAAAAAAAAAAAAAAAGAAAACTACAAAGGAAAGTGATAGGAGGACTAAGCAAACAGTACCCAGATCCTTTCTCCCCTCCAAAAGAAGTTCTACTATATGTTTTGCATGTGGATGGTTTATGTAAGACTTTTTAAAGACAAGAAATGCTTTAAAAGTATTAATTTATAATTTTTAAAATCTTTTGAATAACTTTCAGTGTTATCTAAGAAAAAAATTTTATGATTCTAAGTCATTAGAATTTTCTGCTACAAGTTCTTGAAGTTTTACATTTTAAATTTAAATCTAGGATCCATACTGAGTCAATATTTTTTATATGGCGACAGGTGTGGTGTGTTAGTTTGCTAAGGCACCATAACTAAGCTCAACAGACAAAGTGGCTTTTGCAATAGAAATGTGTGTTTTCACAGTTCTGGCATCTAAAAGTGTGAGGTCAAGGTGCCAGTGGAGTTTGCATCGTCTGAGATCCCTGTTCTTGGCCTATGGATGGTTATCTTCTCTCCTGTCTTCAATGGCTTCTTTTCTCTCTGTGTTTTAATTTCTTCTTCTTCTAAGGATATGAATCATATTAGGTTAGCGCCCACCCTGATTGACCTCATTTCATTTAATCACCTCTTTAAAGACTGTCTCCAAACATAGTACATTCTGAGGTTGTAGGTGTTAGAGCTTTAACATACACATTTTGGAATATGACAACCCCTCCATATGGATTCAAGCTTTTTACAAATATGGGTTATCAATTATTCTAATACTGTTTGCTGAAAAGAATTTCCTTTGTGCTCAATTGCTTTTGTGTCTATCAGAAAATGTAACTGTCTTTATAAATGTGGCCACTCACATTTCTGGACTCTAATCTGTCATACTGTTTGTTTATCTTTGCTTCAATGCCCTATTACCTTGATTATTTCAGCTTTAAAATGTGTTTTAGAGATAATTGATAAAATCAACTTCTTATAACAATAAAACACTTCTCTTTAAAAGACACTGCTGAGAAAATTAAAAGATACATACATATGTAACTTCAAAATCATAGATTTGACATAGGATGTACATTCAAAATATAAAGAACTCTAAGTTCTAAATCATAAGAAAATAACCTAAAAAATAGGCAAAAGATTTGAGCAGATATTTCTGTTTAGAAAAATTATGTGAGTAGGAAGTAAGCATCTGAAAATATACTCGACATTATCATTATTAGGGAAATGGTAAGTAAAACCACAATGAGACACTACTACAGACTTAATACTAGGTCAATAAAATGACTGTTTCAAATATTGGTGGAGATATAGCAGAACTAGAACTCTCATGTATTGCTGGTGGAAATATGAAAAAATACAAATAGTTTGAAAAACAATTTGGCAGGTTTTTTTTTTATTTTAAAGAGAGTAGTAAAGGAGAAACAAAGAAATAGAACAGTAACAGCATACCTGTATCACAAACATAAACAAATCAAAGCAAGAACATTCAAAGTGATACAGAGTCTCAAGACAAAATAATATGAATCAACAGTGGTTGTTACATTACATATTGAGCAGTGTAGTTGAGGATAGCAGTATGTAATGGCAGTTGTTTTTTAAAAAGTAAAATCTACACGTGTCATTCTGGTACTAGAAAAGAAAGCATGGTTGATACAAAAACTTACACATAAATATCTGTAAGAGTTTTATGTGTTATAGTCCCAAATAAGAAATAATCAAAATATCCATCAGAAGGTGAATGGATGAATGAACTCTGGTATAGTCACTCCAAAGAATAGTACTCAGTAAAAAGAAACAGATTATTGGGGCATGTTATCTCATATATGAATCTCAAAACAACTATACTGGGTCATGGAAGCCAGATATAAGCGGCATATAACTATATGGTTTCTTTTATATAAAATTTTAGTAAATGCAAGCTAATACACAGTAGCGGAGAACAGATTGATGTTTTCCTTGTGGCAGGTATAGAAAGTTACAAGAAAGAAAAGGAAGGAAGAAGCATTGGGTATCTGACGAACTTCTGGGGACTCTTCACTCTATGTTCATTAGCTTTACTTGCTAAGCATATATTCATTAGTTAACAAATATATATTCATTGAATATATATTGAAATATATATTCTTTTAAAATATATATATAACTGTGGTAATGATCTCATGGATGTAAAATTATGTCAAAATTCATCAAATTCTATACTTTGAGTATGCACTTTATTATATGTTAATTACACCTCAGTAAAAGTGCTAAAGAGATGATTGATTGGACCAATGGTACAAAGAATCAAAAATAAAGTGAAAAAGTACAAGAATATTAGCAATCAGCTTTCTGAGCTATTAAAATTTCCACTAGTATTTCAGTGGCGTTCAGGCAACAGTTTTTGTTTTTTTTTTCTGGTCTACTTTAGGGAATATATAATCCAGGCAGTCAAGAGATTAGGAAGAGACTCCTGAAAGCTTTGGTAGCCCTAAGATACAGCACCAGCCACACACATGCCAAGACAAATTGAGACACATTAACCTTTCTTCATTGCCATTAGTTTCTTTGAGTTAAATGCGTATTCAGCTTTGGTTCTAGTTGCCAGAGGCTACTTGTTTCAAGTCCATGATTGGCTCCCCACGTTGGGCATGGCATTCAGTAAAGCCAGCCTTTGCACCTGTGTTTGTTAAAAATCTGCACCTAAATGAGTTTGGAACAAGAAAGAAAAGTAACTAGAAGCAGATTTATTGCAGTCTGGACTTAGCTACTTGGCTGACCTCTTTTTGCTGGATTTCTGGGTTGATTAGACTTCACTAATTGATGGGGCAGCAGGAGTGATAGCCCAGGCAGAGCCCCCCTTGCCCTCGACTTGGACTTAGTACAGACATGCCCGGTGGTCAAGTCATGTGCTTTCTAGTTTGGAAACAGACATTGGAACAAAGTTCCTGGAACAGGATTGTAGGGTTCTTCGATGCAGAGACCAAGATGATTTCCAAAAAGATGGCTCAGGTAACTTGGTCCTTGTTTCATTCCCATCTCTAGAAGAAAAAAAAAAACTCCAAAGTTTAGAGCATCTAAAATATTTTTGATGTAGTGACACTGAATGTGAATAATTGGTGTCTGGTAAAATGGGCTTACCGTGTCTCTTGTTACTGAACAGAAAAGAACCCAGCAAAACCCCGTAGACAGACATAAACATTTCAGTCCAAGATTAATTTCCAACCGGGGAGTAGAAAGCACAACAGTGCTGCGAAGTCACTTGCATTTAAACGTCCTCTTTTACAAGCCCATAAGCACATTGCACATAGTAGTATTACTACCGCGGAGACTTTACAGTAGGATACTGAAAGTAGGCCATGGATAGTCTTTTTAACCACTCTTTCATTTTGTTAAGCACTTGGTTCCATTAAAATGATACGGAGTGTAGAGAAAATATGCAGACCAGAGCAGTGCTGGGACTTACAGGGGGACCACCAACCCCAACTATGAGGTCAGCAAGGCTTCCCAAAGTGGGAGTCAGGGACTTCTGTCTCTTGCTGTCTCAGTGACAACGCGCAGTGCATTTAACTTCTCTGACTCTGTTTGGATGTAATAATCTCCCTCACTGAGTACTTATGAGGATTGAAGCAAGTGAGGTGCACAAAAGCACCTAGTCTATCACCTACCAGGGGAATGGTCACTGTGATTTTCCTCCTTCCATGTTTCTTCTCTCCAGCTTCCATCAAGTGAGGAATGTGACTTGCAAAGCAGACTACACAGAGACAACTTTCGGAGGGTTTTCTCATCGCCGTCTCTGTCACTTGGTGTTTATCTTTCTGCTCCAAACTCATTAGAGTCTTTTCCCTGCAGTGCTGATCTAGCTGTGCTCCTGTCTTTCATGTGCTGCCTGTGACACTTCATTATGGTTGGCTCTGTGAGCGAGAGCTGGAGGCAGAGGGGAGATGGAAAACAAGTGTAGTATCTGCGGGGCTGGATCGAGCAGAGCATGGATGTGGCGTCATCTGCCCTGGTGCCCTGTGGGTGAGGAGCCCCGAGAAGAGCATGCCTTAGTTACTGAATGGAGAGAAGAGGGCTGCACGCATGTTCTCCTGGGAGGACAGAAAAAGAATAAAATCATCTTCAAGAATAACAAAGATTTACTCTGTGACTATGGATCCCGAAAACAGCACATGATTCCTACTCTTGGCCAGGTCTAAAGTGCCGTAGAAGCAAATGGTGCAACTGTTCTTAGGGGACATTCTGACTGGCCAGCAGGCATTTCCCGTGCAGGGAAGCAATAGCAGAAAACCCCGCAACAAGCTGGGCACACTTTGCTTTTCGCCACTCTGTTTTGCCTTTGTTCTTTTTTTTCTGTGTTCTCTCCCTTGCTAGGAAGACTTTGCTTTTTTCCAGCCCAAATCACCTTCTCATGTTGCAAACCACCTAACCTCCAGACTTTTTTTTTCCACACAGCTGTCACAACAAACTTCCCCTCATCTGCTACTAAATGTATCAGACACCATTGTGCAGGCTTGGAGTTGCCTACTCATTACCCCAGGGCCTTCCAATAGAATGCGATGTTATCCAAAACTTCTCATCTGTTTCAAAGGGTACAATTTCCTGCATTCTCTGGAGGGAAATCAAATGCACTACATTTAGGAAATAGGACGATCTTTCACAGATTTAGTAGACCTCTAGGCAATTACGGGGTGATTATTCTGAACTTAGTGCTTCCTCACCTCATTTCCCATAACAGCGACAGGAGTGACCTGACTATGGGCTTTTCATCTTTCGAGGGAGACACCATCGGGAAATAAATCACAGAAATCGGGATGAGCTGTGGTAGCTTTGATTTCTCTCTCTTGTCGCCAGCCATTGTTTAACTTTAACCTCAGGCAGCCGGTTTTTCCCCTTTTCCTTCTGCAGTCTCTGAGATCCAAGAATCTTTTTTAGGAGTATCTCTGGAATCCTTTAAATTATATATACCTATGCACCGGATAAAGGTACATATCTTTTCTTTTAAATTACTTTTTGGACTTAGAAATTGCCCATGAAGAAAAAAATACTTTCAGCTGGTTTCCAGGCCTCTTTACAGTTCTTTTTCTCCTTCCTTCTCACCTCTGAACTGGGATATATTTCTTTCCACCATCATCTTTGCTCTACACTCCCGACTTGTCTCTGTCCAAGTGTCTCCCTAATTCCATTTTTATTTTTTCAGGTTATCTTTTTAATTTCCTGCTGTCAGACATCTGCTGTATCGCTTTGTGTCCTCCAATTCCTAGAAAACTTGTTCAATGAATGTTCTTTCTCCTTGGTATGATTTTTCTGGCTGGGCATTGATGTAGTGCTACAATGGTTTTATTTTACAGTGACTGATTAATCATTTTGAATAATTGTTTTAGCTCCATTACTGTGAATCTATTTGGTTTAACACTTTTCTTTTGCAACCTTTGATTAATGCCTGACCACTGGGAAAGAGGAATCTGCACATTAATTTCCCCTCGACACCACTGAGAAGTGCTCTTTCTCCTGCGTGAGAGCCCGAAGCGACAGATGCTCTGCGCTGGGTTGCAGAGGGGGGACGCGCTGCTGGAATAAGTCTGTGCGTTCTTAGCCAGTGTTTGCTGATGGTGCCGCGCGGCAGCCATTTCCTAGCAGAGAGCAAATGTTAGGATTTAGGGAAAAGTGTACCAGCAGATCAGGTTTTAGCGCCGAATGGCACATTTCTGCGGAGTTAACAGCGCATAGCTAGATGGTATTTTCTTTTTAAGCTCATGAAACTTAACAGCTGTTTAGTGAAGCGGTATTTTCATATATGTCTGTTTGACAGGTTTAATGGCAAATCTTGCAATAAGCACATGCTGAACAGGCTTCCCTGGCTGTAAGAAGAACTGGGTTTGCAGCGAGAGTCTTTCTGTATTTGTGTGTATGGGATGGGGAGGCCTGTCTAAAGCAGGGGAAAATGAAAGGCATGTTCCGAAAGAAATGACCAATATCTCTGCTCTGGGGTTCCTTGGAACTTGTTATTTCCAGCCAGTTCAGGGGAAGATAGCATGGGAGAAGCATGCTGTTTAGCGGTAAAGACATGCACGTACAGTTTACAGTACGCTTTCTGCAATGCTGTGCTGATGAATGGTAATTAAATCTATATAACCCAAGCCTTACGGTTTTCTACAGCTGGATCTCTGGAAGACTCTGTACTTTTTCTGATTCAAGAAAGCCCATATTCTCCTCTCTGCCTCTGGAAGAGGCTGCTGTGCCTTGTAATAGCTTTTTAATATTGCCAGATAGAAGACAAATTCTTCACTGGTTTTATTGGCAGAAGTAAGGCATTTCCTATCACTCTTATGTTGAAGGTCCACGTGTTGGGAAACTAGAACTTTATGAAGCTAGAATCCCGTTCCTTTCTTCCAGTTTTTCAGTTCTTTTAGACTGTGGGACCTCAGAAATGTTATGCCTGGGGTTATCTATTTTACTGTGGGTCTCCAAGGTTATGGAATGCACTTTTCATGATTTACCTGTCCTTTTATCGACTGTATGTGCCTGGCATGGCTGCTGATTGTGGGTGTGTGCACATGTGACAGAATCACAGATCACAGACTGCTGGTTCTCCAGGGAAGCTTCCCTCTTGGTCAGCCAGGCATCTTCTGCTAACAAAGGTACGCTGAGCTGTCGCCTGTCCTTTCTGAAGAGCAGAACAGGCTTTGTAAGCCAAGAATACAAAATTTGTCCTTCAGTTGATAAGTTTTTCAATGATTGGAATTTGAGTCATATTTCTTCACTTAAGCAATATGTAATCGCGCTTCCTCTTTATGTGTCTTCGACCCATTTTGATGTAGGTCAGTAGCCAGTTACTTTAGCCAGCTGCATGGCAAACACACCTCTTCGTGAACACTAGGAAATCAGGCTTTGCTGTTTACAGAAACTTGAAGGGGATAAAAAAACATCCAGAAGAAAAGACTAGTAGAGGGAGCCCAGCTAGTTTTCTAAGATGGAAAACTCAAAAATGTTCACTGCTAAACAGTAAAATGTCAGGAACACAAAATTAGTCATCCCACTGGCTCATGCTGAGTGGGATGAGTAGGGAAGGCAGAGAGAAGGTCACTGGACATTGCAGGGAATGGGGCCACAGCCCATTCAGTGTGGCCAGAAGGAGGAGAAGGTTCTACTGCAGGGCGCTCCCAGCAGCTCATCGTACCCACACCTCCTGAGCCCGCGTGCCTGAGAGTCTCTGGGAGGCAGCAGTAAAACATTGCCTCACCAGCCTGCTGTCACCGCGCTGGCTCCCACGATGGTTGGGAGCAGAAAGGCAAATGTTATGAAATTCCCCTGTGCCTGGCTGTTAGGATTTTCTCTCTTCCTTCTCCCCGTCCCCCTTCCTTCCTTCCCACTCCTGCCTTGTTCCGACAGCGCCTGTGCTTTGTTGAGGCTGTTGTGTCCAGTTCCAAAAACATTTGAAACTAAGAACCTTACCACAGCTTTTAGGAAAAATAATAGTGAGCCATTGGAGACAGCTGAGTCCTAGTCTAAGGTGGCAGGAGTAGGGCCTGGAGTGGCCTCATTGCGTCCTACAGCCTGAGTCTCATAAAGAGGCACAATTCTGGCTCAGTCCTGCATGTTTTACTTCTTTTCCCAGAAGTATAAATAATGGTTCATGATATTTAAAAAACAGTTTGAGCTTTTAAAAAATCAGATAAATAGGACTCAGTTTTTCTCTTGGAACACTTACAAAATTACAAGAAGTTTCAAAAAATAGTACAGACAGATTCTGTTGTCCTTTTGCCCACTTCCCCTAGTGATATATCTTGGTAACTACAGAATGATGTCAAAACCAGGAAGTTGTCAAGGGTACAATCTGTAGACCTTATTCAGGTTTCCTAAGGAGTCAATACTCCGTGGCTTTTTTTTCCCTAATAAAATTGAGGGAACAAAAGGTGAAGAAAAGGTTCCCTGTGAAAAAAAGTTCCACGTCTGGTTTTTTCCTTTCTTTTTGTATTGCCCTCCTGCCCCACATCCTATACAAAATGGGTATGGAAAAAGTTATGTCAACAAATAGTCAGAATACTTACTGTGCAGGGTGGTATGGTAGGTGTCAAGGAGGACAGGAATAACTGTAAGAAGAAAAAGTGTTCTGTATCTAGGAATCGTTTGCTTATGCAGAAACGTTCAGTTGAAGACCGTGAGTATTTACTAAGTGCGTTAAATCCATTTAGCATGGTCTTTGATTTAAAGAGACAAGAACTATCTTTATTCTAGAATGGACATCCACTCCTCCTTCTTACTCCACATATCTGATAGCTCTGTGAGAGCCTTCCAAAAGTAATTTTTTATCATTCTCTATGCTGCCTCCCTGTGTTCCACTGTGACTGCAATTAGTAGGCATTAGTGCCTGCTAAATGCCAGATTAATGCTAGAGAGTAGGGGTTCAAATCTGGACTTTACACAATGCTTGCCCCCTTGAATCCACAGTTCAGTGGGCAAGATAGGGACATAAGGAAGAAAATGTGGCATAAAAGATATAAGTAGAGGTATGAGTAGGGTCTATGTGGAGTACAGCTAACTCAGAGTGGAAGATTCCAGCTGAAGGTCCCAGAGGAGGTACAAGTTCAGCTGAGTGTATCTAAGGCTTCAAAGAGTGAGTAGGGATTCTATGACAAATGCTCAGCAAAAGAAGGGTCTGGGGGCTGGGGATTTAGCTCAGCGGCAAAAGCGCCTGCCTGGCAAATGCAAGGTCATGAGTTCTGTTCCCAGTACCGGAGAAAAACCAGAAAAACCAAATAAATAAATAAATAAATAAATAAAGTCCTCAAATCTTACAAAAAAAAAAGAAGGGTCTGAAGTAATGGGATGAACACATGTTAAGCTCCAAGATATAAGAAATAATGGCTCACCTAGGGAGCTCTGAGTAGTTACCATCGCTGGACCGTAGGATATGAGACAAAGAAGGACAAGGGGTGAATCTGGTAAAGGCGCCTGGGTCTTGCATGCCAGGCTGGGCGCTTTCTCATGATGGCAGGGGATCTGAACAGAGGAGGAGGTGCTTGAGCTATTTTCAAGAAGGGTAACTGCTATGGAGAGTGCATGGGAGAAGAGTCCAGAGATGGCCGTGTTAGCTCCAACCGAGGTCAGATACTGAGAAACTAAGGTGATGAGGATGGCTAGAGGGGGAGGGGGAGGGGGAGGGCAGGGCTGTTTAGGAGTCAAATTTGATAGCGTTTGGTGATTAACTGGTGTCCAGAAAAGTACCAAAGATTGGGGTGGTAGAACTGCCATGCACCAAGAGTGTGGATTCAAGATCATGCATCTGGAGAGGGACAGAAAAGACCAAGTCCCTGGTATCTCGACTCTCTTTATAAAAGAAACTTGTGAAAATGCCGCAGTTTCAAGGAGCAAAGTAATGCTCGAGCAAGAAAAGCACATAATCATTAAAGTGGTGAATCAGAGCCATACACCTCTATTATGAAGCACAACCACTTGCTTGATGAATTTATATAACTTATAGAATTCATGTATTCTATAAATACTTACTGGCAGCTACCATGCTATTTGATTTGTACAGAAAGACAAAACACTTTCCTTGAGGAGAATACGCTCAGTGAATTTTATGAAAGTAAAATGTTATCACAAGTAAGTAACATATAGCCTAGCAGGGCGACGGACACAAGAAACAGTAGCACACACTATGCTCTTGTAAAGGCAGCAAGCAATTCTGCCCAGGAATTGGAGACTGATAAGCTATACCTTGCATTGTGGTTTTGGTTTCTTCAAATGGAGGAAGGATGAAAGGGAATTTTTGGCAGAGGGGACAATATGAGCAAAATCAGAGCGGGGCAAAGAGTGTCAGTAACTTAAGGACTGGTGGGGCTGAGGTGTAAGGGGAAGGGAGCAGAGGGGAAAGATGACGAGGCCTCACGGGCTGTGTTAGTTGATTTGTACTGCTCTAACAAACTGCCAGAGACTGGCTAGTTTAGACAGAACAGAGATTGATTTTCTCACCGTTCTGGAGGCCAGAAGCCCAAGATCAAGGAGTTGGCATTGGGTGTTCGGTGGGGACTGCTCCTTGTTTCCAAGGTGGCCCCTTGTGGCTGCATCCTTCAGACTGGATGGATGTGTGTCCTTGAGGTGCAGTCAGAGGGACAGGAGACCAGATCAGTCTCATCAACCTGGAGACTTTTGATAAGGGCGCCAGTCTCATTCGTGATGGCAGAACCATCATGACTTAATCATTGCCCGGCTGCCACACCTCTTAATATTGTTGCATTGGGGATTATGTTTCAACAGGAATTTTGGAAGGGAAACCATCGTTCAAACAATAGCAAAAAGCCATAGCCATAGCACTGACAGTAAATGGTGGAGGGAACATATGTTTAAGCACAGGAATAATTTAATTTCCGCTTAAGATAAATCTGTGGCAGTACAGCAGATAGATCAGAAAGGGGCCTGGATTTAAGGCCGTGAGCTATGTGAGGAGGTGTTTCCGGTGAGGGTTAATGAGGTTGTTATTTAGGGCAGTGCTGGTGAGGGTGGACAGAGGGAAGTCAGGAAAGGATTTGAAGGAGGAATTACAGCCAGGTTTTGCCAACCATTCACCTCCTCTCCCTGAGAGAGAAAGCAGAATCCAATAAAATCCTGCCATTTCTGACTTAATGATTAGAATGGGGAACAAAGGAAGACCATAATTAGAATGGAAGATTCTGAGTTTAGAGCAGTACAAATAAAGAACAACCAGAGATGTAATAATGGAAGATTCTGAGTTTGGCTATGCAACACCAAAGGAGCACTGGGAAACTTAGATAGGTCCTAGGCCCTGTTTATGATATTAATCAGCATAAATAATATATTCTGGATCCCTGAGAAGTGCCTAAAAGTAGTATATCAGTTGGGGATGTATTTACAGATGAATGGAGCAGAGAACTCAGCTAACAGTGGCTGAAACAAGAAGAGTTTCTTTTTCTCACTTATCAGGACTGGTGGTGGTGTGGTTTTGGGTCAGCTGCTCAGTGATGGACTTGGACTTGCTCATATGATTGTGAACAGCAAAAGCAAGTCCAGCATCAGGACCACTTTCAAATGCTTCTGTTCGGGTATCATTGGGTAGAATTGACCACAGAGTTTCCTCTGGCTGGAAGGTCCACCGGAAGGTGACAAAGAGAATGTTGAACTCACTGAAGTCACGAGTTCTCCATGCTATGTCACAAGATGCCTCTTTTAAAGAAACAAATAATGTGCTTTGTTATCCTGAAACAAACTACGTAGATAATCTGCCTCTGGAAAATCTCAAATAATCAGTGAGTTATCCTAACTGGAATATAAAGGAGACATGGAAGCAAAATAGTTCATATTAAAATATTTCAAATGTAATTTCTGAGGCGTGATTACCAGGAGACATAATGACGTAGTCAGATTCTTGCATGGTGAACGTGATAGTAGCAAATACAGACTGTACTGGGAATGGGAATGGTGTTTCCAAAACCACAAACAGCATAGGCATTGGTGTTTTACCTGCTATTGGTAAAATTTTGGATAAAACAAAATAGTCTTCTCTTGATATACAGAGTAGTTGCTTCCTGAAAAGATCAATTTGTATTAAAATTGTACAAAGATTATTTTGTATTTGTACAACAGAGTTAAATTCAAGGCTTCCTATTTTAGAAACCTGTGTGGAGTACAAGAGAGTTTTCAGTACATAGACTCTCACCCATGCAGCAGTAGGTCTGGTGTTCTGGAACCCTGTACTAACCACTGAATTACCAGTCAGATCCCCACCCCTTTGTGACAACTCAGAATGCTGCCCTCCATATTTAAAATTCTCAGGTGTCTTTCCACACACACTGAGACCAAGTAGCATAGCTTAACAACACTGGACACAGCTTATGTTCCCAATTTGTGTTCCTGAGAGACTGAATGAGTAACTGGAGAGTTAAAGTGGGAAATGGAAGCCTACTCTTATTTGAGCTTTGAATTTAATACAGGCAAAAAAATCTTCCTTAAGACAGTTAAAGGGATAACTACTAAATCCAGAAATGTTACCAGGAATGCACCTGCTCTCCCTGAGACAGCAAGAAGAATCCGAGCTGGGTAGGAAGGTTGAATGTGCCAATGTCAGTGCTAGGACAGTGTTTCAGGTCTTTGTATCTGCCCCTCACCCTGGACTGCCGATGAAGAGTTACATTTATATCAGTGAATCCTGCTCAGCAGTGAAAGATTTAGGGGAAATATTTAAGTTTTCATGTAAGTAGTATATTCCGTCTTTAAAAGAAAAAAGTAACTGACAGTAAAAAAGTCAATAAAAATCTCAGGCTCTAAATCTTACTCCTTCTGCTTTCAGCACCGTCTCCTTTCTGTGTGTCCTTTCCCCTTCTGTTCGTGTATTCAGTCAGGCATCTCTAGCATAGGCTGAGACATTTCAAAAACATTTCTTTTTCAGGAAGAGTATTTAGAAATAGAAGCAAAGGGTTTTGTTTCCTCAAAATATAAACCTATTATTAGAGTACAATTCACAGTATGATAAATTTTGGTTTTGCTTCAGTTTGCTTCCATATTTAAGTAGAAAAGAAAGAGAATGACATTCTAAAGAATTTTATCTCTTTCTCTGAAAAAGATAATCTGTAACTATGGATTGTGAAAACAATATATGAAAAGCAAGTCCTTTTCAAACAATGCTCTAAAGTTGCCTTTGAATATATGTATGTTCAACCTTTATGAATTCCAAGGCATGGAATTGGGTACAGCTTGGGTTTTAAAGCAGGTGCTTAACATTTTGAAGGGTATATCACTTAATATTCCTATAGTATGACTTCACATAAAGGAACAATGAATTCAACCTTTTGTGTACAAGAATAAAAACATTTTAAAAGTTTGTGCAGTTTAAATTTAGACATTTGAAGTAGTTTTATAATTGCATGAAAAGAATGCTAGACCCTTCTTTGTCAATGAGGTTATTAGTATTTTAGGCAGTTTTCAGCGGAAGAAATCTTGAGTGTCTTTGTAAATGAATTGCTTGATTCATGCATCTTTTGTATGTTTGGATTAATTTCACAGCATTCTTTTCATCCCTCTGAAAATATAAAGAACAACCAGAGATGTAATAAGTAATGCTTATTTTGAGATTTTGAGGAACTCCATATGCTGTTCTTGTCCTGATGTGGTATTGAGTGGATTCTCTGTGCTAAGAAGAGAAGAGGTAGTGAAGGTCAGAGAGGACGTTTCCTCCCTTCCTCCCTTTCTTCCTTCTTTCCTCCCTTCGCCTGGGTGCAGGTGGGAGTTGGCCGCATTCGCAGTGCCCCGGTCACAGCATTCTGGCTTTTTTTCTCCATATATGCCCGCTTTACAAGTAGACTTTGAGTCAAACCTTGGGGAACAGCTCCTTCTTATTGCTGTTGTATCTTCTCCCATTTTTCCCTCTCCTCATCCACCTACTTTGTTGTTTCCCCTGAGTTTTGTAGGCTGTTTTAAAAAACCTTGCTCTCTTTGCATGAGTTCTTCTCATTCAAGTTTACTCCACTGCCAGCCCTGCCTTCCCTAGGTGCCAACAGTAACCTCTGGCTTACCCTTGAAATGGTAGCCCAAGCTGCTGATTCCCCGCCTCTCCCCTTCCCTCTCTTCTCTCCTCTCCTCTTACAGGACCTTCTAACGACTTCAGTCAAAGGACTTCTCACTTGTTTCCTTAAAGTTGGCAGGTCTTTGAGGCTGGGGATATTATACTATGTATTTATGTCTTTGGTGCCTGGTAGATTTGGTGCTTAGTAAGTTTTTGTTAAACAAAGAGAGAGATGAAATTATGACCTAAAACAAAACAAAACAAAACAAAACAAAACAAAACATCTTTTACAATGAATAAAGAGAAAATACTTCAGATGAGTAATACTGTGTGCCTTTACTGATTATCACAGAATGATTTTCTTCCTTTGTAGGTTCTATAGAACTACAGTACCATGCTAGGTAGCTTAATTTTGTTCAATCCACGTGACAGTATAGGAACTTTGTATTTTGAAATAACACTTGTTCAAAACAGCAAAGCTTCCTGTTGATCCCATTGGGAACTTTACGTGGGCTAGCCTGGTATCAATGCTTTGTGGTAGGATTTGGCTTCTAGTAACTGTGCCATTGTGATTTTATTCAATTTTCTCTTTTTCTTTGAAAAACAAATTATATATGTTTGTAATAACTGTGTAAAGTTTCACATTTTGATTTTCCTAAAACTAGTCTAGGTCTATCTCCTGGCACAGTATTAATATTAACAGTTTTGCTGACTGAATCTGTTTTCATTTTATCCAAACACTTCTTTATTTACTACCCTAAAATATTTCTACTTATGGGCAAATCTTTTTCATATGAGGTAGGACTAGTGTTTTAGTTATTTCATGTAAGCAAACTGATGCCTCTGACCATCCTCCCCTTTTTCACTGACTATAGGTCTATAATAAATTTTTTACACGTGATGACCCTAAATTTGTGTCTCAGAAGAGAATTTCTTCAAGCAGTTTTTGATTTTTTGATTATTGGCCTTTGTTAAACTCTATCCTGTCTATACATTTCAATATTTAATTTATATAAGTCTGTATCTCTTGCTTAGAATATACAAACTATATATTGGGTTATAGTTTTAGTGTTTTGAAATTACAGTTATATTGTATATTGTTTTTCTTAGGTGCATGTGATATATAACTATCTTGTTCCAATTTTGTTACTTCTGTAAGTATAGGCTATTAGTAATAATTATTATTTTCTACTGTTTATCAATAAAAAGTATCTTAGTTGGGACAATATAGCTTTCTAAAAACAGTAATAATAAAGGACTCTGTAATACTTTATTCAAATTATTTTCCAGGGAAAAGTAGGTTTTAAATCAACTAATAAGTGTTTACTATTACTTGTGTCAGGGGACTGGGCAACTTGTTCTGTACCTCATTGTTTTATGCTTTTAATCTTAGCAGATATTCTAATTGCTGATGTCAGGCAAACATCCTGTAAAACATAACAAACCTTCACTTTTAAATTACCCTACTTTTGAAAATGAGCATTTTTGCATTTGGACTGGAAGATGCAGAGTAGTTAGGGTATTCCAAACAACACTCACAGGTATCTGTGAATCTCAGTTTCTGTTTTAGAGTAATTGCATCTATTTTAGCATCAAAATTAATTTAACTGACCATGTTAGTAGGCATTAAATATTGTTATCAGAATGGCATGTTGTGCGTTCACACAAATAGCACAATGGAAAGGATATGAAAATGATAGACTTAGGTACTATTGTGTTTTGGACATGGTTTTCAATCAGACTTTAATGTGAAGTTGATATGTCGGGGTACCCCTGGGAGAAGCCCCGTCTCTCTTTGCTGCCTACTGATGTACCATTCCTTGAGGTTGTCTTCAGGTGTCTTATCATCTCTATAGGTTTTGAGGATCCACTTTGTTCTTCTCCACGTTTCCTTGGTACTCTCTGGATGAGTCTATTTTAGCACACATACTTCATTATAGTTACTCATTTTTCAGTTATAGTTACTCATTTAACACATTTGGATATCCATCATTGAGTTTCTATTATGTATAAATGCATACAGTTTTCTATAATAATTTGTAATCCTCCAGGAAGTCTGTGTCTGTCAGTCAGTTACCTGGTTGATTGCAGTTGCTAGTTTATCTGTGGCCTGGGAATCACAAAAAAGGCCTTCTCTGACTATAAAGTAAAGGCACGGACTAGGGATTCTTAAAGCTCTCCTTTATCTCCATAATGTTGCCATTGTATGATTCTAATTCACCACTAGAAATGTATGTAAAACACTTAATTAATGTTTTCAGACTGCTTAGAGAATTTTTAATGAGAAATAGATTCTTGTGGTTAGTGTTAATGAATACATGGCTATGAACATTTTTCCCTCCCTCCTTCCCTCCCTCCCTCCATCCCTCTTTCCTTCCTTCCTTCCTTCTGAACTAATAGAACATTTGAAAAGTATATTTTTCAAAATAAATTGTGGTCTGGTGAGATATTTTGATTGCTTAACAAAATTTAGCTTTTAAAAACCAAGCATCGGTATGGTAATCATAGAAACCAAGAACCTATACATGTAAATAGTTGTAATAAAAGGAAAGCAGTATCAATATATAGTTTTCATAATTATTCAAAATATGATGGAAAGTTTTTATTCCTGCAGCTTCCCTGTGAAGGAAGCACCGGTACTATAATACCCAAAGGAAGCTAAGACCTAGAAAAATTAAAGACTCAAACATTTCTTAAATAAAAATGTATTGGGTACCTACATTTGGGTCTAGCAATTGAAGGTGGAATGGAGAATAACTTACCTTACTTGACTTCCCTTCCAAGGGAGACAGATTGATGCACAAATACAAAGCTGATGACAGCAGTTGTGGTGGGCACATAGGAGATCATGCAGAGTACTCTGGAGTGCCGTTTGGCAAGGCTCCACAGAAGAGGTGATTTTGGAAGTATTCTCATTAAAGAATGAGGGGCAGCATTTGCCAGGAGGATGGGAATAGTCTGAGGAAGCTTTGCTGTAAAAGAGAATGAACATAGATAGAAACCCTAAGTTATGAAAAAGCCTGGAAATTCGAAGAACAGTGTGAAGTTCAGTGTAACTAGAGCATTATTGTCCAATTAAACATAAATGTGTAATTCAAAATTTTATGGTAAGCATATTCAAAATAGGTGAAATTAATAATATGTTTTACTTAACCCAATATATCTAAAATCTTTAAAATCAAATTAGGTATATTTTATACTTATAGAATTAAAATATCTCAATTTGGACTAGCCTCATTTCAAGTGGTCAGTGTCTAGAAGCTAGAGAGAGAGAGAAAGAGGGAGAAAGAGGAATAGAGAGAAAGAGAGACAGAGGAGAGAGAGAGAGAGAGAGAGAGAGAGAGAGAGAGAGAGAGAGAGAGAGAGAGAAACCTAAATGTGCTCTAGAAGGAAGGAGGACAGATGAAGTAGTTGGTATCATTTTTTGGAAGGCCTTGTGTACCAGTCAGGCATGAAAATCTCCTTGTAATGTAGTAGTTTATGACTGTGTTTCTGAAATTATCTGTGATGCGTGACTCATTTTTAAATTTCAAACTTGTTAGGGACCAATACTTTTTAAAAATACAGTAACAGTGAATTAGAAAAATGAAATTAAAAAGACATAAATTAAAGCACCGTTTTTAATCATTAAATTTAACAAATGCTGTCTTTGCCTATTTTGTGCTCCTACTAAAGAATAGCAGACTGTTTAATTGAATAATACACAGAAATGTAGTGGCTCAGTGTTTTAGAGGTTGGAAGTCCGAGATCAAGAGGCCACAGCTGGTGAGGACCTTCTTGTATTATAATGTGACAGGAGGCCTCCCATAGCAGAAGAACTAGAGAAGGCAATAGAAAGAGACAGAGCGCAAGAGGGAGCAAGCTCATGCTCACACCCACTCCTGTGATAGCAGTGTGAGTTTGCTCCTGAGGATGCGGCTGTCAGGTTCTAAACAGCACTGAAGGTCTCACCCCCACCCTCAGTACTCTCACAGTGACAATTGAATTTCAATATGTGTTTTGGAAGAGACAGACATTCAGACCAAAGCCACAATTCACAGAAGTGTTTAAGCCAGTATTACCCAGTGGGATGTTCTGTAACAATAGAAATGTTCTCTCTAGGTAGCACAATATGGTAACCACTTGCCACATATGCCTATTGAGCACTTGAAATGTGCCTAGTGTGACTGAGGAATTGAATTTTGATACTATTTAATTTTAGTAAATTTAAGTTGAGGTAATCACATGAGACCTTTGGCTGCCGTGTTGGACAGCAGTGACTACTCTTAGTCTTTGTATTTACCAGCAGTGGACCACTAAAACCAGGTTGTAGACAGCCGTTGGTTTGTGAAGTATACTTAGAGTAGCACAATTTAGAGCATGGATCCTAGTTATTTAATCCCTCAGAGCTGGTTCTCCAGTCCCCAGTTTGTAAAACAAAAGCAACAACAAGAAGCTACCTCTTACAGTTGAGTTGCTATCAGGATTAAATGTGTTAATGAATGCCACGTACTTAGAGCAATGTCTGATACACAGCTTTGTATAAATGTATTATTATCATTATTGTTTTCATTATTGCCATGTAGAGGATGGATATCACACAGTTAAATGGTAACAAAACCCAGTCTTTTTATTAATTCTCTGCTCTTTGTATTAACTTAGACTTTTTCCTTCTAAAAGTGTATTATAATCCCTTGGGTATAGTTGGCATTCAATAAATATCTTTTGAACACAAGCATAAAATACTCTTGGAGCATAGATGAAGAAGTAATTATTTTTGATGGCAAGGAGATTAGAAAAAGTATCAAGAAATGATGACATCTGAAGGGGGCTCAGTGGACAAGTTCAAAGGCAGAGAGGATGGAGCGCACCAGGCAGAGGGGGCGTGGTAGCCCCTTTCGGTCATAGGATATTTACAGGGATCTGCAGCATATGCAGTGTCGGCCCTGTCATTGCTACCACTACTTCGCCCTTCCTACTTCTCATTTTAATCTTTTAGTAGACAGGCTTACAAGTGCATCTGTGGTTTTAATAAATGCTGCTTTATTCATAAGGCCAGTCTCTGCCTCTTTACTTGTTCATGTCTGGGAGTTAAGATGTCTGGAATATGCTTGGGGAGTCTGAGCAATGGCTGGAGGAGAAGAGGAATGCTCTTTGAAAAGCAGTCCCTGGGCTACGGGCAGATAAACTGTGAGATTCTTTCCCCTAAAATATGTTTTTTATTTACATAGTTTATTTTAGGAAGAAAACCGTTTGGAAAAAAGATGAAGTTCCTTATCTTCATATGTGTTGGTGTTGTTCACCTTTTGTCCCTGGGCTCTGGGAAGACGATATACCGGAGTGGCATCTCTCAGAGAGCTTTTCAAGAAATTAAAGAAGAAATAGCCAGCTATAAGGATGTTGCTAAAGCGATTATCGACCTTGCTGTTTTTGGGAAATACCAGAACCGGTCCTATGAGCGGTTGGCACTTTTGGTTGACACTGTCGGACCCAGAATGAGTGGCTCCAAGAACCTGGAAAAGGCCATCCAAATCATGTACAAAAACCTGCAAGAAGAGGGGCTAGACAATGTCCACCTGGAACCAGTCAGAATATCCCACTGGGAAAGGGGAGAAGAGTCTGCTGTGATGCTGGCGCCGAGAATTCACAGGATGGCCATTCTGGGCCTTGGCAGCAGCATCGGGACACCCCCAGAAGGTATTGCTTGTCTTTTCACCTTGCTGTGTACTTTATACAACTAATGTCACTTGGGTAATTGATTACAATATGTGTGATTCATATTATAATTTGGGTGATAGGAAAATATAACAATTTCCCATCCTACTGGCTTAGTGAGTTCTCTAAACTTACATTCTTTTTCTTTCTTTCTTCTTTTCTCTTCTTCCTTTATTTGCTACCAAAAAAACCCCCTCATTTTAAAGGGTCACATATTAAGTGAAGGAGCTATAGCTACTGGTCAATGATAGTTATCAGTCCCGTGACTTAATAATTGCAATCTAGAGTGAAGTAGTGTAATTCTGCAAGAATTAAAATATTGGTAAACAGGGTTCAACAATTATGACTTCTCCCAAGTGTTCTCAATGCCCAGACTTTCTTAGAATCAGTAAAATACGAAACAGCAGCTGCACATTGAATTGATTTGAATTTATTATTTTTATGGAAACTGCTAATGCAAGGGTCAAGTTCTACCTTTACTTACCAGAACCCTAGCTCAGCTTTATCAACTAACATAAATGTCTGGGTCAGTAGAAAATAGTCAGTAGTGAGCTAGCAATCTTGAATGTATTCATGGACTAATTTCCTGTGATAGTGAAATTAATTTCTATTCTTTTCATTTTCTCTTATGCCAAGAAAAAGACTCAGTAAGAAATAATCACTTTAAAAAATCTTTATTGAGATATAATTTAAGTACTACTATTTTCACTCACCAAAAATGTGCTGTTTACTGGGTTTTAGTATATTTATGGAATTGTTCAACCTAATTGTAGAATACTTAGATTGTAGGACAAGATTTAATTTTTAAAATTAATTTTATTAGTACAATACATAATGATCATATTCATCATAAGGAATTTGTATCTGTACATAATGTGTCTTGACTGTTCTTTTTCCCCCAAATTCCTCCTCCTTTTGACCCCTATTCCCTTTCTTATGTACAAAAGCTTTGCTACATTTTTTCTTCTATTCTTTTTTTTCCTTTTCCTTTCCTCTCTTCCCCCTCCCCCTTCCTTCTTCCCCTTCCCATTGGAACATTTTCTTCCTATTTCCCAGGACACAGTTTAATTGTAGAACATTATCATCACCCCAAAAAGAAGCTTCATACCCACTAACAACCATTCTTCATTCTCCTCCTAAGATCTCTGCAACCACTAACCTACTTTCTGTCTTTATGGATTTTACCTATTCTGGATATTTCACATAAATAGAATAACACTGTGGTATCTTGTGACCGACTTCTTTCATGTCACATAGTGTTTCTTAGGTTTATTTATGTTGCATGTTTTAGCACTTTGTTTTTCATTGCTGAATAATATTTCATTTTATGGATGTACAGTGGCACCCTGGTTAATGAATGTTTTTATTTGCAAACAGTTTGGTTTGCAAACAGCATTTGGCAAAGTTTTGGTTTTGTTTTGTTTTGCAGACTCTGCATATAGTGACAAACATGACTGTGACCATCTGTTCCACACAAACAGGAGCATGACCATTTTTTCCAAATCGTAGAACAAATTAAGTTTGTGAACTGAGGCACAACTGTGCCATATTTTGTTTGTATTTTCATTAGCTGGTGGACATTTAGATTGTTTCTAGTTTTTGAATCTTTTCCATTTTTTGAGTCTAAACTGGTATAAATAATTTATACATGAGGTGTTTTGTGGGCATATTTTTATTTCTCTTGGGTATATGTCAAGGGGCAGAATTGCTGTGTTATTTGGTAACTCTATTTGATTTATTGAGGTTCTGACAAATTGTTTTCTGAAGTGGCTGTATCAGTTCATGTTCTCAGTAACAATATATTACAATTTTCCTATGAACTTGTAACTCTCCCTTATTCCCTCCCGCACCACCTCCCACCCGTTCCCTCCCCTCTTTCCTTCTTCCATACTGGGAATTGACCTCAGGACTTTTGCACTATGCTACATCATCAGACTTTTTTCATTTTTTTATTTGTTTTTATTATGGGACAGGGACTCACTAAGTTGCTCAGGCTGATCATTGCCTTCTAGACTCCATAGTTTCTGAGGAGAAGTTAGCTGTTAATGTTTTTAGGGTTCCTTCATAGATGGTAAGTTTTTATGCCCTTACTGTTTTAAAGATTTTCTCTTTGTTTTTCACTTTCAGCATTTTGACTGTGACATATGTAATTGTGGATCTCTTTGCTTTTGTCTTACTTGGTGAAATTTTAAAATCATCTAGGGTGTATACATTAATGTTTCTCATCAAATTTGGAAAAAAATCACAGCTATAGTTTTACAAGTATTTGGCTTTCCTTTTCTCTTTTGCCTCTCTTATCCTGGTACTATATTTATGAGCATGTTGATGTGTTTAATATTGTCTCACATTTCTCTGAGGCTCTGTTCATTTCCCTACATGCTTTTCTCTTTCTGTTCTTCAGATTGCACAGCTCTGTCAGTCTATCATCAAGTTCACTTATTCTTTATTCAGTTACCTCCAACCTATTTTTGTGCATTTGTACATCTTTCTTTTCGGCTGTTATATAGTCCAACTCTAGATTTCCACTTAACATTTTTAAAAATCATTTTTCTTTCTTTCTTGATATTCTCCATTTGATGAGACACTGTCATTATGCCTTTAATTCTTTAAGGATTATTGTTAGTATTACTTTTATTTCCTTGGACATGCCTATACCAGCTGCTTTGAAATGTTTTTTGCTATGTTCTATAACAGCCCCCCCCCCCCCCCGCTCAGTATGGCTTGTATCTAGATGTCCTCCCAAAATCTCATGCATTCATCCATGAGGCATTTGGGCCTGCTAGACCATGGATGTGTGAAACTGGAGTTGTATGCTGATTGGTTTAGCATAGTTCTGGATGTTAGTGGTGGATTTACTGAAGAGGAGAGACCCACCTTGGGTGTGGGTGGTACAAACTGTAGGCTTATAGTCAGGATGGAATAAAGAAGGAAAGAAGAAAGAAGTCTGCTGTTTTTCTCCTGCTGTGTCATGAACTGTTTCTCCTCTGCCATGCACCCCTGCCTTGGAGCCAGCCAACTGTGGACTGAAACCTCTACAACTGTGAGCCAAAATAAACCTCTCCTCCTTTATCATGGGTATTGAGTATTTTGTCCCAGGAATGGCAAAGCATCTGAGACAGCCCTATATTGAGCCGCTCACAGGCAGTTTCTAATGCCTCCCTTTTATCCCCATAATTTCTTGCATCTTTTCATGCTTTATAATTTTAAATGAAAAAATGAATATTTTAAACAATATATTATAGAAGTTCTATATACTGATTATCTTCCCTCTGCTCTGCTCACCCCCACTGTCTGTTCATTGGAGTTTGATGTCATTGTTTGTTAGTTCATTTGTTTAGTGACTTGTTGCACTATGAAATCTATTTCTCACACACTGTATATTTTTAAATTTTAGCCTGTGTTCCTAATAGTCACTTTGGGTCTGCATAAGCCTTTATTGGTCAAAGATTGTGCTTAAGTCTCACCAGCTAGTTATATTTTTACTTTTTACTATTAGATGTTTGTGTAACTTGGAACCTGTATTGCAACTGAATGAGTTCATGTTTTTGCCTCAGCTTTAATCAGTGCCTTTAAAGTTTCCTTTCTAATCACTATTAAGAGGGTGCAAGCTTAACCATGCACAGCATCTTACAGATGGCTAAAGTGTGTGAGTGTGTGTGTGTGTGTGTGTATGTGTGTGATTTTATTTTTAAGCCTGGCTTCATAATATTTTCCCCTTGTGTCAGAGCACTTCAATTTTTAGCCAGTTTTTGGTCAGTTGTACTTAAACCTCTTGAGAGAGTGAGGTTTCTGCCCTTTGTTGATAGATCTGAGCAGCTAGAGGAATGTTTTCAGATTTGACCTGTGTCTTGTTCTTATATCTACAGTCTAGGTTATGTCTGTGTCATTCCCAATTTAGAGTTTAGTGGTTTCCCAGGAGGGCACATCTTCTTAGTTGTTTCTTCCCCTGCTTCTTCCTGGTAAAGTTCTGGTTGCTCTACCAGTTTGCTTACTGCTAATGGTATCTCAAAGATACCAGGATCCTAATTGTTCTCAAAAATTTTGTTTGTTTTCAACAACTCCCTTAGCCATGGAAGTCTCCATGATCTCCAAATAAAGTCACTGATCTCAATAAACATTTAGAGCTGTGCATCCTTATCATTTGTCTCTTCCCCTGTGAGAATCTCTGTGCTACTGCACAGGAGCTAGGTACAGTGACAGCAACCTGTTTCTCCCAGAGTACATCTTAGCTGATGCTAGAAGAACAGGCAGGTGGCTCCTGGTCATCTCAGCCTGAGGCTTCCAGTATGGATCGTTACCAATGAGTAAACTGAGATGGTGCAATCAGGGTCCCAGTATTTTTGCTGGCTACCCTTGATGTAGAGCTTCCACCAATGAAGTGCTGGGCAGGGGAATGATGTATCTGTCCTTTTGTCCATGCCTGCATAGACTAGAACTCCTAAAACATGAGAAGGGGTTTGAGGAAATGGGAAACGTTGATAGCCTTCCCTTTCAAGGTGAAATATTGGTAGGCAGCCCTAGACTGAGAACTGGAGCAGAAGGTGGGCCATAGGAGAGAGGACATTCCCAACTTCTTGGTTATACTTCCTGGTAACAGAGTGCCCCATAATGGAGTTCAATAACATGAAACTAGGAGTCGGGGAGAGGAGCAAATCCTGGCCCAAATGCCACGGGCTCTCATTGTTCTTACTGAGACTTAGTAGACTTTCTTAAATCAATGTTGTTCTGTTTTTTGTATGCCCTTAGGACAGTTTTGAGAGATTTAAATGACCTTTTAAACAGTAATTTTCCCACTCAATATTTTGTTAGAGAAATTAGCCAAGTTTCCCACTTCTCATCTCTGGAAATATCACTGGGATGACCAGTTTTGATCTCCCTAGGGCTACATGAATTGGTGCTAAAGGCCCCTAGGAAGCTCCTCAAACCAGCAATCAGTATCTGTCTGGATTTTGTTCAGTTGCCTTCTGTTAATCACTAATTTG